CATCTAGAGGCTTCGGCTAAAGACGGGTGAGTTGGGTCGAGGAAATTTATACTTTACATGGATTCTCAACTTGTAATAATTCTTTATGATTAAATAAATAAACAACACCAACCTGATTGCGGGATTAAAAAAAAAAAAATTAATTTTTTGAATATTGTAATTTTTTATCTTTTGTCCGTTTTGTTAAAAATTTCCTTTTATGATAATTTTAAGCAAGAAAAAATATTTTACTCTCTTTATCGCAAGTTAGCTTCAGTTCAGAAACTCAAAAACCTTCAAAACAACTGATGCAGTGGGATGGAATTTTTGGTAAAGTCTATTCAAGTTTGAAAGTCTTGTTTATCATTCGGTTGTATAAAGAAATACCTGTGGCAATTCTTTTTTTGTTCAGTTCTCTTGTATTTCTTTTTATCTTTATTCTATTATAAAAATTATCTACATCATCACTATTATACTCACTAAACCAAATATTTTCCAAAACACATACTCAAATAGAGTTAGTGGGTCTACTGTTTGTTTTAAGTCAATTTTCATATACAATATTTTCGTAACAATATTTGCTGCACCACCTTCAATCTTTAAAAAATTCTCACTCAAAAAATCAAAATCAGTTTATCTTCTTCAGATAATCAGTGCTCTTCAATCATCCAATTAAATTTCATCTAATAATCAAAGCAAAAACCAAACAAGCTCAAACTGATTTTATATTATAACAACGATCACAATAATAATAACAACTAACTTACTATCAATGACTATAATAACAAATAATATCACGTGTATTCTATTATCTATAGCATATAAAAGAACAGAAGGTTGGGATTACGAGCCTATCAGAGGGTTCTTTTGTTCAACGTATAGATTTTATAATACATTTGATTTAGTTTTAATTATAGTCACTTTTATTTTTATTTTTAATTTTTTATATCTAAAAAATCAAAAGAATTTGCAAAATTTCTTGAAATAGTAAGTATAGTTGCTATTTAATCTTATCTAGCACATTAATATTGATTTTGAATTTTTTTACAATATTAGTTAAATATTAATAAGTAGGCAAGCTAGTATTTAACTTTCCTAAAATAATGAAAGAGATATTGTTTCTTTTAATGATGTATACCTTGTTATATACAAATCAAAATAAAGAAATAATATTTACCTACTGGAGAAACCTCCTCAAAAAAAGAATATTATAATTTTTTATTATTTAATATTTTATTTTTTTACTATTAAATTTTATAATTTTTTTTTTAAATTTTATATTAACAAATATTTTTTAATTCTAAATATTTATTAATAAATTTTTTTAATTATTAAATATTAAATTATAATTTATAAATTTATAATTTAATTTGAGCTAGTATAAAAATATTTTATATTTAATTTATATTATTTTTTGATTAGATTATTTTAGTAAAGATTTTAATAAAAATAATTTAAAATAATTTTTTAACTTATTTTTTATTTTAATAAATTAATAAATATTAATATTTTTTTATATTGATTTAATTTATTAAATTCTAGGATTTTTTCTTATTTATTTTATAAGATGATATTTTTTATATTTGAGAAAATATTATTTATTTGCTATTTTCTAAATTCGAATTTTTAAATAGTTTATTAGTTCAAAATATAATATTAGTTTAAATAATAAGAATAAATTGTTTTAAAAATAAATTTTTGAAAATTTATTTTTATATTAAATTTAATTAAGTATTAAATATATAGTAAATATGTATATATATTATTTGTTTTAAAAAAATAATTAAATTATATATTATTTTATTTACTATTTTTTTAATTAATTTAATAATAATTTTAATTTTTTGTTTCAAAAAAAAAATAATATTTTTTTGTTTAATATTATTTCAAGTTATTTTAAAAGATATACAAGTTATAATTAAAATATTACTTTAAATCTTTTTTTATTACTTTGATATAGTTTATATTAATAATTTGAAACTTATATTAAAAATTAATCAAATAATGATTTTTTTTTCTGTTATCTTTTTAAACAACTTTATAAGTTATTTCTTCAGCAAATAACAATATAAATATCTAAACTAAGGAATTATATTATAATCACTCTTGTAAACAAGTTAATGTTTAACTTATTTTTAACTTATACAAAAGATGTGATTTCTTTTAAAATACAGTATATATCCTGTAATATATCAATAAATTAAGAAATGACATTTTGCCTTAAAAAAAGAATAATCAATCATGATTTTTTAAAACTGGACATACAGTATATGTATTATTAGTAATCATAATTCAAATCGTTTCATTAAAATAGGATATGCTGACATTTAAGAAATTAATAATAATATTTATGGCAATAAATATTTACGTAAATGATTTTTCTTTTTTGATGCTATTATCAATTTTTCTATTTTTAAAAAACAATTGTTTGTTCTTTTAAGTACTTTTTTTACAATTTCAAATTGAATACGACAGGCGCTTAACTTGCTAACTCTTGTTGACCCCCTTCATGATCATATTTATCAAGTGCTCCAGAATTTCATTGGCCATGTGCCTGGTGCGTTACGTAATCTTTCAAGGTTAAAAAAAAAAAAAAAAAAATTCGATCAACTTTCTCGGTATTAAAAAAGTTTCATTCACTAATTAACGACATTCAATCGTCATCTTTATTGAGATTTAGATGCAAAAGCTTTGTTCGTAATTTCAATGGCCATTCTATAATAATTTACAATAGATCTCGAGCATTAGTTTATGAAAGGCAACCTCAAGTACACTTAAATTGTATTTACTTTCAGATTCAAGCCTTTAACTTAATACCTTTAATAAACCTAATAATAAGTAATTAAGTGTATATTGTGTGTTTCTATTTATTTTTTAGATTACGACTTTTCAAGCTTTCTGATCCCAAAGTAGTGACTATCACATTTTTTCATCGGAAATGGGTCAGGGTCTTTCCACGGCTCGAGAATTACCGAGCAGTTTAACTTCGTCGAAGAAACGTTCGGCATTGTTGGTTTTTGCGATAGTTGTGGGATACCTTATTAAGCAACGTGCTAATCAAGGAAAGAGAAAACAGGAGACACGCTTTGCCTCTCGGGGTGCTACAGGTGGTCAAGATAATATTCGGAGATCGAAAAAAGTTGGCGTCGACGCACAATTTTTCGCCCAAATCAAAAAATTATTACCCATTTGTATACCTGGTTAGTAAAGTCATCAAAATCGTAATTCAATAATTTCTCGTGATGTATTTTAAATGCGTTCATTTTGCTTATAATATTAGGTCTCGCTACTAGGGAGACAGCGTTACTTCTCAGTTTGGCGTTAGTTCTTATTGCGCGAACATGGCTTGATATATGGTAAACTACATTGTTACATTTTGGGTAAAATCAATTGGATTATTACTGATTTTTGGGAATTATAATAATTTTTAGGTTTTCTGGCTTTAATGGGTAAGACGCAGCATTATCTTTCCTTCAACCATATCAATGAAATCCTTAAACTAATTTGTTTCTTAAACTAGTCACGTTGTCAAAGCCATCGTATCTCGTGATCGAAAGGAATTTATCGCGCGGGCAGTAATAGAGTTTGGATTTATGATGGTACGTTAGTTATATAGTTAATCTCATTCATTAGTCTCTTTAGTAAACGTTGTGTGTAGTCGTTTTTTAAACGCGATTTAAATTTAGTGGCCAATGAGCGTAGTCAATAACTCATTGAAACTTACCATTAGCGCCTTGGCCTTGTCATTTCGAACTCGGCTTACTCGGGTAAAGAGGGTTTTCATTTACATTTTCTTTTCACTTTTTAATTTATTCACTGAATTGATAATTAAAATCTTTGTTACATTTTTTTTCTAAAGTTTGCCCATAACCAGTATCTGAAGGACATTACATTTTATAAGATTTCGAATATCGACAATAGGATCCAAAACGCGGATCAATTATTAACGCAGGTACATACATAATTAAGTTAGTTGTGAACATTTTTATCTAATATGATTTAATTTATATATATATTTTAATACTTGAAAAGGATATTGATAAGTTTTCCGAAAATTTGAGTCATCTGTATTCAGATATTGCTAAGCCCATTGTGGACATGATTTTGTTCGCGTATAAATTAGGGGAAGCTATGTATGTAATGATCTAGTCGTTTTATTGGATGTTTTCATTGTTATCATTGTTCTTATTCATAACATGTTCTCTTATTATTTCATTTATTAAGTGGTCGTGAAGGTATGTCTCGATTGACCGATGTTTGGAATCATCATTTAATTGACAATAATCTACAATTTTATAGCACCTATTTACATCATTGGATATTTTATGGCATCTGGTGCTATCCTTCGTGCGTTCTCTCCTCCTTTTGGAAAATGTATGTCAAGATATATTATGTCGCATCATTTACAAAGTGGAAGGGTTTTTAAAGTAAAATTTGCTCGATTTATAGATACTGCCGTTGAACAGAAGCTTGAAGGAGATTTTCGATTCACTCATGTATGTTGCCCTTTCATTTCTTCAATAGAATTGATTCATATTGTTAATTTATGTAACATCAAATCATCACATGTAGTCACGTATAATTACACATTCCGAGGAAATCGCCTTTTACGGTGGTAATGAACGGGAGTTGGGAGTAGTTAACGGAAGTTTTGATAAAATCGTTAGACACGTGAAGAAAATATATAGTCTTCGTTTTATAAACGGAATATTTGATTCCGTATTGGTTAAATATTGTGCAACGATGACAGCTTATTAGTGAGTGAATGAATGAATGATTTTTATATTTTTTGTTTCAGCTATCGCTTATGTTTTAATCGTTATTTTTTTTTGTACCTAATTAGCTTATTAGCGAGACCTGTGTTTGATACAAAATACGGTACGGTGAAAACTATTTCATCCATTTATTTATCCTGTATTTTTTATTGATTATTCATTAATTATAAAATAGCTACCGAGTTCATGGGTAAACTTGATGCAGATCCTACGAAGATCATGGAAGATTATTCAAGAAATTGTGCGTGTAATGTTCTACAACATACGTTATTGTTTATACGATTGTCTGAATAAATTACGTTGTTTTCAGCTGGCTACCTTGTGAACCTCTCGCAAGCTGTGGGTCGATTAATCTTGGCTGGACGTGATCTTACAAGATTTGCAGGATACACTGTATGTTAAACTTTATATTGTTGTATTTGCAGGATATGGAGAACTGATTAAAAAGTATTTTCCATTTTTTCCATTTTAATAGTCTCGTGTGGCCGAACTTTTCGACGTTCTCGAGGATGTTAATAATGGTAGATATGAGCGTACCATGGTTAGCACAGATTCAAAAGAAGCTAATGTGAACCGAGGTAATAAATTTGTTCAGTCTATTTGGTGAGCGTGTATTATTTCGAGAAGTAAGTTTCCTTAACCTACAGTATTTCCTTTCAATAGCTGTGACACCAAAGGATCTTAAGGGTAAAGTAATAACGAAGGACGGTGTCATCATATTTGAGAAAGTTCCTATAGTTACACCGAACGGTGACGTATTGGTAACTGTCGTTTTATTTGATTGATGTTATTCTCTTTTTCAAATGTACCACATATTCATATTTCCATCTTAAATTGATATAGGTAAAAGAATTGTCGTTCATCGTAGAAACCGGCATGAATTGTCTCATTTCAGGACCCAATGGATGTGTAAGTCTTTAATGAATATTGATTAAATGATTTTGTAATCTTCAACATCCATTATCAATATATAATGATCTTTAATTTTTAGGGTAAAAGTTCATTGTTTCGTATTCTCGGTGATCTGTGGCCATTGTTTGGTACGTAATGATTTTATAGCGTTTTTTTTTTTTTTTGAGATATTCATTAAATACCAGTTTAAATACCTACAGACGGTACTGTCACGAAACCGCCTTCTTCAAAGCTCTTTTATGTACCACAAAAACCCTATTTGGCACTTGGAACTTTCCGTGATCAAGTATTCTATATTATCATTTTAATTATGCCAATTTCTGTATACCTTCAGTTAATTCATCATAAAATTCAAAAATAAATATAGATAATCTATCCTGATTCTCAAGTCATTGCCCTTTCCAAGGGATTCGATGATAAAAAGTTGGTTGAATTACTTAACGTAGTTCAGTTGGATTATCTGATTGAGCGAGAAGGTGGTTGGGATGCAATTCGAGATTGGGCTGACGTTTTGTCGGGCGGTGAAAAACAAGTAATCAATACTTTTCTTTTTTAGTATTTTTACTAGCTAATAATTTGCGTATAAACATTTAAATTTTTTTTTTTTTCTTTAGAGAGTGGCTATGGCAAGACTTTTCTATCATAAGCCTCAGTTTGTAAGCAACAGGTTTACTTGTCACAATAATTTTCCAAGGATATAGTAATAATTGAATTTTCTTAGGCTATCTTGGATGAGTGCACAAGCGCCGTTAGCATTGATGTCGAAGGTATAATGTACACTCATGCTCGCGAATTGGGGATCACGTTATTTACCGTTTCGCACAGGCAATCATTGGTAAGTTTTTCAAAATAATCCATCTAAATCGCAATGTAAATCTAATTTTGATATTCATGCATTTCATTCGTGACATTGCTAACCGAATATTAGTGTAAGTAACTATTTTTTAGACTTTTTACTTTCTCTAAATGTTTAACAATGCAAATTGGGTTTTATTTTTATTTGTAATCGCTAGTCAAATACCATGAATGGTTACTTCGATTTGATGGGGAAGGTGGTTATAAATTTGACAGGTATGTCATGTAATAGATTTGCATACATTTGATCTCTTAATTTATAAATCTTATTCATATAAAAAGGCTCGAAGATAGCGACTTCGTAACACCATTTGCCTTTTCTCATAACAAGACTGGAAAGGAGAAGTTCTTGCTAGATGATGCAGAAGCTGACACTGAAGGAGATGATGCGCTTAACAACAGAAACAAATCTGAGTAAAATTATGATTCTAGAGGCTCCCCATTATTATGCTAAGAAGACAATTTTAGAATCATACCTTAGTTGGGAAATTAGATCCAGATATAAGTTTATTTTATTTTATTATTTAAATAGTATCGAACACGCACTTAATCCGATCCGATGCCGTATTTACTAGTAATTTACAATAATCTATAATAAGTTCTTGTCACAAAAGAATGCGACTTATCAATTAGACATCATTGTCATCATTGTTCATTCTGTATTTCACCTCCAAGTCATATTTATGAAAAGTAATTCATATAAAAAATAATCAATTATCTTTAGTTGATGTCCGATAAAATTCTATCCGAAGAAAGCAAAGACTTTGTATAAAAAAAATTTTTTTTACATTACATATCTCTATTATCTTCGGTTTAATTTATCATGGTTTACAATTTTCATTTTAATAATTCGTTATCAGAAAAGCTTACAGGTATCATGTATCATAGTCAAATAAGTTTTTTTAAAATAATTAAGTAATATACTGTATATGCGATGTTTTTAAAAAATTAAATTATTATAATCATGTGTGTATAAACTTGGATTTTATAGTATATGATTTTAGCTAAGAAGCAATCAACAAATTTTAAAATGAGATTCTGACCGAACTCGCAGATAATTTGGATATTTATTTTATAAAACCTACATAAACATTGACGTATTTCTTTCTCGATCATAATCAAAACAATACTGTAATGGATTTTTGTTCTTTTTTAAAAGTAAAATAATCTAGTTTAAAAAAGGTTACAATCGATAATCGTAAGCTAGTGATCAATGGTTACGACATTTAGTTACGACATTAATCACGGGAGTTTCAAACTCACGAGACCGCGGCTCTCGGTCTCAGGGTCTATTTAAAAGCTTGATCATAAAAAAAGAAAAAAATATATCTTGTCTTTATTAAAAAAAAATGCCTGACACTGAAGCAAAAACTAAATTCGAAACCAGACAGCAATCGGGGAAGGAAGGAGGAAGGTTAGCACAGCATTTAAATGATGCTGGCGAAAAATTTATCGGAACTGTTAAGGTAATTTCTGAAGATTGACTGTATGCGAATGTCGACCGTCTTACAATTTTTTGTTCTCTATATTTCTTTTTTAATGGTAGCATGGCATAGACACAGTTCTTCATTCTTCATCCAGATCGAAGGAGGGAGTTATTAGTAATCATACGTCCAAGATTATTCGTGAACTTTCGGATACTGAACAGGTACAATACCATGCTGTCGCTTCGTAACTATACGGAAGAAAATATTAATTACTTTTGAACTTAAAGGAGCTCTTATTGGTTGTTACGCATTCTGAGTATTGATTTGGATACACACACGATTTCATAACGTGTTGATGTTCTTGACAAGCAATGTTGACCGAAATAACTCACTTTCGTGACATGCGTATAAGAATTTTATCGTAATTCAATACAATAGATAAATTTAAGCGTGACTCAGACATGAGAAAATTTTGCAAATGCTTGAAGAAAACGATTTTCTTTTCATTAAAAAAACTGTTTGTTGTATATCCATGAGATACAACAGTTATTTCTTTAATTCGGAATTCAGTTTACTGCAAAATAGTTACAGTGTCTTTGCCCGATAACTTGTATTTGTAACATACCATATACTGTATATTATTTGAAATTGTGACTTGTCGAATAAGCAAATAAATGCATATCGCATACAGTATTAAAATAATAATTTTGAAATCCCGTTATTAAAATTTGGTATTGATTTAATACGCGAAAAAAATGTTTAATTTATTATGAATGCATGAAAAAAAAAAATAATTAGAAAGTTACAAAATGTATTAAATTTGAGTAACAGGATATAATCTATTCCCTTGTACAAATTTTTTTACTACTATTCTCCTCTTTTATTTGCAATGACTGTTGCCACTCATCTCTATCGTGTTTTTTGGAAATAATCTCGGATCTACCAAGTGAAATGTAAGTTCGTTACCACTGCATAATAGAAATAATTTTTATCGTAATTTAGAAACTTACTTGACTCTCACGCCTTCAACATCAAAAGTGATATCACCTAATTAATTAACAAAAATAAAAAATTTAGAAGTTTTCATAAAAAGATTTTGACAGTGAAATGTATTTTAGTTATTTACCACTGCTTGAATCGAATGAACTTATGCGAGACCTAATCGTGGTTATCAATGGAGTTAATAAACTACTAGTATAATTGACATTAGGATGTTCTTTCCCGGAGTCTTTTACAAAAGGAATTCCTAAATCGATCATTTGCTTGCGTTTTTTCTCTGCCTTTTCAAACATTGGTGTATTTCTTCCATAATAGTTAAATATATTATTATTGATTGTTTGGCGCTGAGAAGGATCAGGATGCCAACATTGTTGCATTATATTAGACCAGCATTCGGGAGTGTCTTCGGTGATCGCAGGACGCAATCCATTACAAATATCAACTGCAAGATGCAAATCATGTGCTCGGTTATGAAATGGTCGGTGGCCTGATGTTATTTGATACATGATCATTCCCACACTATATATATCCGAGGCGTAAGAAAAAGGCTTTCCTAGTAAAATTTCCGGGGCAGTGTATGGTATTATTCCATATACATTTGTTTCTAATGATTTACCTAATTCGGTAGCAGGAAGGCTAAATCCTAAATCGGAAATTCTTAAACGTATACTCCCATATTCTTTACTTAATAATATATTACCACTGTGTAAATCGCGATGGATAAACCGTTTATTGTGAATTTCCTTAATTCCATCTATAATATATCTTAAGTACTCCAATTTATCATTCCAACTAATATTAGTAAAATTTTTAATTAGATAATTATGTAAATCTCCATTTTTAGCATATTCCATAACAATAATGTAATTCTTGGATATTGGATCTTGTGAAGCTCCCAAAATTTTAATGATATACGAATCACCACTTCTGCAATTGTATGTATGTTTAAACTAAGGAGATTATATTAAATCTTAGCTGATTAATATTAAAGGTTCACATTTCATTTATTTTTGACTAGAGATATTGTATAAAATATTACCTCTCTTAAAAATTTCAAATCAGCCTCACTCGAATCATCAAGAATTTTCAATGCAACAATTTTTGGGGTTACTTTTTCTACATCTCCCTTTTCTTCATTATAAATTATTCTCATCTTATTCCAAATTGCTTTGAATATTTTACTGAAACCGCCTTGACCTATTTTTTTTTTTATTTTAAAATCATTATAAGGAATCCATTGTAATTTCATGACATTTACTAATGTCCCTCTAATAAAATCGTCGACATCTTTGATACCACTGTTGACTTTTAGAAATCGATCGTTATAGCAAAATTGGCAAATGTCGGGATTTTCTACCATACATTTTCTTTTTCTCCCGCATTTTGTACATTTTCCGCATTTCTTTCCAATTATTCTTCTGTTAATGGAATTCGTAGCCGTTGCGGAAGAAACTAACATTAATTGACTATTATTAAATGCTGAATATTCTGAGTCATTATCGTTAGAATTTAAAATTATATTTAGATCCATAATTTCTGAGGTTTAGGATTTACCGACTATTGAATTTTAAAAAAACCGTATTGCGTTTTTATAGCGATTATGAGATAGATGACTTTCTAAATAGACGCACTCTCTTAAATTCCATGAACGTTTTCTATTTAAAAAATTAAAAATCCTTGGTGCATTATCATGCATATTCTTGAAGGAATTTCGGCAATGGGCCAAAATTCCATGGATAGAATCGGTACAGAATCTTCGAACATATTTGTTTTCCTATTTCTAAATAGAAGTCCTTAAAAATATTCAACTTTAAAAAAATAACTACAATACATAATGTAACACATCCATTAATGACAAGGAAGACATGAATGAACTTATTTAGTGTTGTACGAAATTTATACTGTACATCTCAGTTGGTACAGCGATAGAACAAAGATCATTCGAGAAATGTTAAAAAAGAAATCTTAATGGATCATGCCAATAAAATCATTCTAAACTTTTATAATGAAAATCATTTTAACATGACTAAAAAAAGTTAGTGCCATTTTTACAAATAGAAAAATAATGTGATTTTTGCAATCCCGCCATACCAAAACGTCCTTGTGTTGTATATTTCAACAGAAAAAAATTATTAATCTTTTTATCAAAATTTTTATTAAATTATAATAAAAAATTTCAATATACAAAGAATAATAAATAAATAATATAAGAATTAATAAAAAAAACTTAATATATTTAATTATAACAACATAATATTTAAAATACAATTTTTTATTAAATTTTTTTTTTAATTTAACAATAATAAAGATTAACAAATAATTTGGGTTTAGTTCAATATTTATTTTTTTAAAAAATTTATTTTATTATTAAATCATCATTTAGCAATAAACTGGTTTGATTAATTAAAATTAATCATTAATTTATAAATTTTTATAATATTTTAAGTAACAAAGTTTAAATATATTTTTTTAATTAAACTTACACATATTTCATATTTCATATATTAAATTATAATTATCTTATATAATAAAACATTTATTATATATACAGCTTGTTTAAAAAATCTTTAACCAAATTTTCAATTTAATGATTTTTTTGTAATTCAATAATTAATTAATAATATAAATTAAAAATTTAAATATATATTAATAAAAATATTAAAAATTTTTTTTACTTAATAGATTTTTGTTAATAGATTTTTGAAATTTATTGAAATTTATTGTTATATTAAAACAAAATTTTTTAAAATATATTGATTTAATAAATTATTTATAATAATTTTAATTTATTAATTTATAAAATAAAAATACAATTAATTTAAAAATAACTTTTGTTAAATTAAGTTTTTAATTTATTTTTTCAATTAAAAAAATCAATTAAGATTTAATACAATTAATTTAAAAATAATTTTTATTAAATTTAAGTTTTTAAATTTATTTTTTTAATTAAAAAAATTAATCAAGATTTTAATACAAAATTTAAAATTTTTTAAAATTTCTTTTTATAAAATAAAAAATAAAATAATTTTTAAAAATAATTTTATCTATTATAAAAAATCTTTTATTAATTTAATAATTTTTTTAAGTTATCAAGTAAAGATTTAGGGTTCAAACCCATCTGATTACAAAATTTATCATGTTTTCTTTCTAATTAAGTTATATAAAAATATAACTTCTGATCTTTCATATAGTTTTAAGGCTATAATTAGGGTTTCTAACAATACCATTTCGGTATTAAGTCAGTACTGGATTTACTATAAGTTTAATATAGTAGGTCACAACCCATATATTAATTTTATTATAAGTCAGTATCAAGTCAGTACCATTTCAGTACTCAGTTTGGAATCCTAGTTACAATAAATCATAAAAAAGAAAAAATTGTATAAAAAAAAACTTCTGGTCTAATTTCAATTAAGTCTTACAATCTGTTATATAATATAAATAATATTATATTTGAATGTATAGATTAGACTATACTCAATATTAATCAATTCCAATTGTTATTTCCTTTATCTATTAATTGCTTAAATAAGAAGTCTAGAAGTAAAGTACTAAATCAATACTATTTATATAAAGTAGACAATAGTATATTATATACTATTGTTTACTTATACTAGACTGTTACTTACTTATGAGTATACTGTTATCTACTTATAAGTATACTGTTACCTACTTATAAGTATATTGCTATCTACATATTTTATGGCTACCTATTTTGATCTCTAATAAGCTTAATATTTGCTTCTTTTTAATAATTTAATGATATATAGATTACATTTGTATTACTATTCAAAAGCTACTAAGGCATGTGCTGAGAATAGGTATAGTGTACTGTGACTTGACTTGCAGATTGTATTTGACATGTTACTCAAATAACAACTGTAACTAATTTTTGTTATTAGGCCACATGCCAACTATTGTATACTAGTTTGGTACTATATCTGTTGATTCACATGGATAAAAAAATATATCTGATAATGCATCCAATCATATACTATTATTTGTGGACTCGAACCTGGCATGTAGTGCCTTAGCTTTTTGGTTAATTCTTTGATGAGGGCTAGATTTGAGGCATGTAGTGCTGAAATAATATTTATATTTTGGCTTTGTGCAATGTATTCGAATACCGATTAAGAATAAAACACGTAGTGCCAAATTGTTAGCAGTTATTAGCATGACATAATTTATTCAGATATTGCTTGATAATGAGACATATAATGCCAAATTGTTAACATATCTGATAATACACCAAAGCATCTGATAATAAGACACATAGTATTGAATTGCTCCAGTTCCAATTATTTATATTTGAATTTTGTAATTATTTATATTTGTAATTATTATAATGTACTTGAATATCAATCACAGATAAGGCATATAGTGCTGAATTGTTAACATATTTGTAATGCGCCAAAGCATCCGATGATAAAGCACGTAGTAACAAATTGTTAACTCTTATAATGCACTTGAATATTGATTACAGATAAGGCACATAGTGCCGAATTGTTAACATATTTAATAATACACCAAAGTATTTGATGATAAGGCATATAGTATCGAATTGTTAGCAGTTGTTAGCTTTGTATAATTTATTTGAATATCGATTAAGGATAAGACACATAGTACTAAATTGTTAACTATTATAATGTACTTAAATATTGATCACGGATAAGGCACATAGTGCCGAATTGTTAACATATCTGATAATCACTAGAGCATTCAATAATGAGGCATGTAGTGCCAAATTGTTAGCAGTTGTTAGCTTTGTATAATTTATTTAAATATCATTCAATAATGAGATAACATAGTGCCGAATTGCTAACTAGTATAATGCACTTGAGTATTAATTAAAAATGAGGCACATAGTGCCAAATTATATTTCGAAGAAATGGTACGAAGTGTCTTAACATATATAGTAATACACCAAAGTATTCGATTATGAGATACTACATGCTGAATTGTTATCATATTTGATAATACATCAAAGCATTCGATAATGAGGCACTACATTTCAAATTGTTAATATATCTATTGATATCCCAAAACATAATTTTATATATTATATATCTTTCTGTAATAATTATACCTTGGAGTATTACTTTTTTTCAATACCTATTTATATATAATCCCAAAGTATAATTTTATATATTATATATCTTTTTATAATAATTATACCTTGGAATATTATTTTTTTATATATTTCAAAATATTATTATATCAAAAACTTTATAAAAAACTTTGGAATAACACTATATCGAAAACTTTGAGATAATACTATAGAAAACTTTGGAATAATACTATATCAAAAACTTTGAGATAATATTATAAAAAACTTTGAAATAATACTATAACAAAAACTTTGGAATATCTTTATTAAACATGTATCAAAAAACGTAAACACTATTTATAATCAAAAAATGAAATCTGGGATATTACTAATTTGAAAACTTTGAAGTATCACTTTTTATTGATACCTAAATTAAACAACACAAAAATAGTTATCGAGAAAACTGAGCTTTGATTCTTTGACTTACATATACCTTATATATCAAAAGTACTTATGTGAAATTTATCTTAATCAAAATCGCGTGACACAAAAACCCTTTATATGATATAGGTATTGGAATATTAATTTTTGATTTGATTTTTTTCTCATGCTTATTGTAAGAGGCAACAAAAATCTCCTTACTTGAGATAAATGACTAGCTGAATGTAGCAATCTCTTTGCTCCAAAAATTACTATTGTTGTTCTCAACGGCGAGTCTGTCGCTACTCTGGGCCAAGACTCATGCTATGTTGGATAAGTGGGTCTATGTCACTGGCTATACCAAAGGTACGTGTGGTGATAATTATCTTAATCTTCCTCTAGGTTTAATTAGTTACCTCTTCTGATCTCCCCTGTCAAGCTATAGGGTGGCAGATCCTTTCTAGGACGAATAAATTAATAAAATATTGATTTTGCGAAATCCAATTGCTTGTACCAGTGCAACGATAATTAATAAACTTACCTTATTTGTCATTTAATTGTCTTAGAAAGGATCCGCCACCCTATAGCTTGACAGGGGAGATTAGAAGAGGAGACTAATTAAACCTAGAGGAAGATTAAGATAATTAATACCACACGTACCTTTGGTATCGCCAGCGAGATAGATCCACTTACCCAACATAGCACGAGTCTTGGCCCAGAGTAGCGACAGACTCGCCATTGAGGACAACACTATTCAACTAGATTATATTATCTTAGTATCTTATGCCTGCTTTATTAAAAATTTATAATGCCTATATATATTTAATAATTGCTAAATATTTATTTTTCAGTTCTTTTTTGTGTAAAGTAGTAGATATACTTATCTTAGTTTCAAAATTTCACTTATGTTCTAAGAAATTAGCCTCACTTATACTCTCACATTCTTTTTTCCAATAATTATAATTATCCCACAATTCAAAAGCAATCTTGAC